GTGATGAATGCCAAGAACCTATAACCAAGGTTACTTTATCCAGCAAAGCTATCATTCAGAATAGAAGGTCAGATAAAGAGCTTCACAGATAAGAAAACGCTAAAGGAGTTCATCACCACCAAACCAGCATTATATGAAATGCTGAAAGGTATTCTTTAAGAAGAGGAAGAAGAAAAAGGAACTCTTACCATTTGCCACAGCATGGATGGAACTGGAGAGCGGATAAATACCACATGATCTCACTCATTTGTGGAATATAATGAACAACATAAACTGATGAACAAGGATTGATCCAGAGACGGAGAGGCATTGATTGGACTGTTGGGCCTTGGAGGGAAGGTAGGGGAGGGTGGGGGTAAGGGGGAAAGATCAACCAAAGGACTTGTATGCAGGCATATAGGCCTAACCAATGGACACGGACAACGGGGGGGGTGAGGGCATGAGCGGGGGGGGGGGGGGGGGGGTAGAGGGTAACGTGGGGATAAGGACACATATGTAATATCTTAATCAATAAAAAATATATTAAAAAAAAAAGAATCGCCGAAACCGGTTTGGCTCAGTGGATAGAGCGTCAGCCTGCGGACTGAGAGGTCCCGGGTTCGATCTGGTCAAGGGCATGTACCTGGGTTGCAGGCACATTCCCGGTGGGGGATGTGCAGGAGGCAGCTGATCGATGTTTCTCTCTCATCGATGTTTCTAACTCTCTCTATCTCTCTCCCTTCCTCTCTGTGAAAAATCAATAAAATATATTAAAAAAAAGAAAAGAAAAGAAAACACTAATGTGATACATTTCTTTCAAAAAAAAAAAAAGAATTAATGTTTTTATTGATTTTAGAGAGGAAGGGAGAGGGATAGTTAGAAACATCAACGATGAGAGAGAATCATTGATCGGCTGCCTCCTGCACGTCCCATACTGAGGATCAAGCCTGCAACCCAGGCATGTGCCCTTGACCAGAATAAAACCCAGGACCCTTCAGTCCACAGGCCAATCCTCTATCCACTGAGCCAAACCAGCTAAGGCCACTGGAAGTCATTTAGAAGCTGCCTCCCACATAACACCTGCCCATGAGTAGGCATTTGATGAGTATCTGATGAGTAATTGAATAATTATTCACATTTTATCAATTTTCCAAATTCCAGGACTGAAAAGCAAGTTACTAGCTAAGAAAAATTCCTTCACTGATTATTAGGATTTGACAACTATGTCGCCACGGTGGCAATTTATCAACTTATGTGATCTGATTAGTAAAATTTTCATCATTATGTTAAATGAGTTATATGGTAAAATCAGGTTAGAATTGAAGTATTAGGTAGGTCTGACAGATTATTCTTTCATGACATTAGTGAATTGGAAGAAAGGGAAGTATTTGAGGGTACTTGAGATAAGAATTCACTCTGGGGCAAGAACACTGACTGAATTATGCTTACTACATGGTAGTAGTCAATATCTTCTAATACCTTTAGAAATATGTACCTGGCATTTCTTCCTTAAGAAACTTTTAGATTCTATGCATTGGGGGAAAATCTATTAGCAAGCCTTCCTCCTGAAGCATGAAGAAGAAATAAACTACTAGGGGTGGAGAAAAAAATTAATCCCTTAAATATGCTCCCAAGAAGTAATCCTGTTCTAAAGATCGCGGGGGGAAAAAACAGAGTAAAAGAAAAGTGCATGTGATTAGTAAAAAACAGAAATTAAAGACTATTCCAGTTAAATAAAATGTCCTATTCAAGGCATGGCTTATTTTGAGCATAAACCAGTATATCATTTTTATTAAATGCTCACACGTAATGAAAGCAATAGCACGTTTTGAGGAAATTTTTGGTTTTGGGTAGCACAGGAGGAGATAGGAAATGGCGCTCCTGTAAGCCCAAACTGGACATAATCAAATGCTGCTTTGCTCAATTTAAAGCTGTAAAATTAAAGCTATGACGAGAAGCAACTGTCCTATCTAAATTGACTCAGGAAGAGTAACCAATTGCTCTAAAACTTTCAAATTTCTAACCCTACTTTCTCTCACTGAAATAATTTTTAGAGTGTGATTTTTGAGGTTCCTGAGGTGCACAAATATCGGGATGGGCCTGAAACCAAGGTGGGTCGTGCTACCTCTAATACAGATGAGGTCTGGAGATTCTGTTCTGATGCTTACGGCGAGACTTGTTAATAAGCACGGGGTAAGTGCTTTAAAAAGATAAATATTTCTACCACGGTTTAATTATGTGTCCTATTCCTCAAATCTTAGCATATGAACTCAGAGCTCTACAATTATCCCCACGCACCGTATTCACTGTAGATTCTATTTCTCCTTCACCACCTCCCAGGCAGGGCACTGGGCTCCCCCCGTGGCCCTCGGAGAACCTGAGCAGCTTCATCATTTTCCAAAAGACTGAAGTGGCTCCGGGAGAAACACAACAATCTCTGCATTGGGCCAGGTTAGGGCTGGGCTGTGACAAGTAAACGCTCACCTCCCCAGGGTACTCATTTGGGATGGGGGGCGGGGATCCCCTCCCTGCCGCCCCACCACCCACATTTTGGACTCCATGGTAGGAAAGAGGGTGAGAACTGACAGATGGGGGGAGTTTGATGGTGTAACCACTTTAGAATCCTAAGAAAATCATTTTTTTCCATGGGGCCCCATAACTTGACTTTATTTCCATCCCCAGTGAGCGCTGCGGGGGAGGTTAGCGCTTACTTGCCACCGCGAAACTCAGACCTGCCCCTGCTCAGAGACCGGTTAGCTTCTCCCCAGCGCCACCTCAATCTTGGAGAGTTCCAAGGTTCTCCAAGGTTATCTCAGCGCTGCGTGGGATCGTCCTAGGCTGCAGGGGGAACTAACCCAGCCCGGGCGCAGTGCCCGTGATGTCCTCAAGCAGAAGACGCGGCCACAGCCAAGGGCTTTACCTCGGGAAGGTGGCCGAGAGACGGCGCCCAGCGGCTGCCTCCTTTTGGATCTTGTAGTGAAAATCTGGAGCAAGACCTCCGCTGCAGCCTGGGCGGAGGGTGGAAAAGATGGCCCCACGCTGTCTCCATAGAGACCTGACAGCAGGGGAGCGACCTGCTCCGCCCCCTTCCCACCCGGAGGGAAGGTCGCAATTCCCCAGGGCCAGCGCCAGGGCCAGGGCTGCAGCGAGACCCGCAGAACCGCTGGGCACACCTGGCCTGAGTGCCCAGGAGCAGGGGTAAGCCGCCGGGAGGCCGGGCTCCAGGAGACCTGGATGCCCAAGCCAGCGTTTGCTTGGTCCCAAAGAAAGCTAGCAATTTTAAGGCCACGCGTGGGAAAGGCGGAGTTTCTTATCTTCAGTAAATCCTCAGAATATTCTAATACTTATTATTGTCAATTTTAGAATGATACAGAAGGTACCAAAACCAAAACGCACCCTTCCTAATCGATTTCTAATGATTCTGGTCAAAATGTCTATTTAAATAGTTATTGTGAAGCCTGCAAGTTTTTTTCTTTTCTATGGAGATGAATAGTTGTAACCCATGGAAAGAGATCCATAATATGAGAAGCAGGTTAGAAAACCATATATATATATATATTATGATCAAATATTTGTAAATGAACAAGTTTAAGATGTCTGGAAGTTGGTGTGCTCTGGTAGTATTTTTTAAAAGTCACTTTCATTAAAATTTATCTATAAGGAATATGCAACACCTATACATTTTCTTCTAAGCCAGGCACCTCATTATTTTCCCGGTTGCCTTTAACATGTTAAAGTTGTGTAAACAGATACAAATTATTAGATAAGCTAAAATTTTGTTAGCTGGGACATGGGGTCCCTTGATGGAAGGACAAATGGGTAAACAAGGCCAATCTGCTACTCTGTCACTGACCCACAGGAAGCAGCTTCAGCTCTCCCGTGGCAGCATCCATCCAGGAAAAACATGTCTCATGCCAGTTTCCTTTTATTCTGTCAGACCCTAGAGTGCTAGTTCTCCCCCAAATCCCTATTCTCTCCACCCAACAGAAACATTTCCTGGATTGTAGTTGATGTTCTAGTGATTTCCTCATTTTTAAAAGCGATATTCAAGAGACTGATAAATTGATCACAATTCTTTTAACTCAGAATCCCCCAAATTGCTAAAACCATCACTTATAAAAACAGTCATTGAATGGGTTCCACTCTCCCCACCCCCAATTAGGTGCTTGTTTCTGTGGCCTGAAAATAAGGAGGCAGAATCATGGAGGTCTCTTGTCTATGGTGAAGGCAACTGAGCTATATGAATCGATAAACAAAATGTGACATATCTATATTATGGAATATGATTTGGCTGTAAAAGGAGATGAAGTACTGGTACATGCTACCACATGAATGAACTCTAAAAACATTACACTAAGAGAATCCAGTCACAAAAAAAACAGGTATTGTATGACTCCATTTGTAGAGGATGTCCTGAACAGGCAAATTCATAAAGACAGAAAGTAGATTACTGGTTACCAAGTGCTGGGGGGTTGGAGGCTGGGGGGTGACTGCTAATGGGCTTTTTGGGGTGATGAATTAGCTTATAGTGGTGGGTGCACAACTCTCTGAATGTACTAAAAACCACTGAATTATACACCCCAAAATGGTAAATTTTACGGTATATGTGTATGGGTTATTTCAATCAAATTGTTTTAAAAAGGGTCATGAGGCTGTTGGCTGACATGACTGGTGTCAGCTACTGTGCTCAGTCAGCATCTTAGTCCACACTTTTTTACTTCCTCCTAAAACCTCTGGGAGTTGGTTATTAACCTCTTTTTCTCGATAAAAACAAACATTAAACTCAGATAAACTAAATGTTCATGAACACAAAGCTAAGGAGCAGAATGGGGATTCAAATCAAGGTCTGACTTTAGAGCCCATACTCTTTTCATTACATCCACATGTAAATGGGCACAAGGTGCAAAATTTGCAAGGAAGTTACAGAACCTCAAATTTTATAAGAACAGTTTACTTTTGAGAATTGAACCTTATATTCCCAGATTGAAGACTACGGGTTTCTTCCAAACAGACAACAGAGACAAATTTAAAACAATCACTTTATTAAAAATAGCAAATTTCACAAATACTCATTTCACATTTTGTTACCACTGGCCATTGGCGAACACACCAGTGTGTGTGATTGTCTGACGTAAACTGAAGCTGGGCTGCCACAAAAAGCCTGGGCATCATCAACTTAGCGCAACAGTGGAGTAAGTTTGGTGAGCTCAGGAAGGATCATCCCTCGGCCCTATCAACGACACTCAGCACAGTGCATTTCAAGTATGACCCAGAAGGCAACAATAATAAGCACAGCAGCACAGCCTGTGCACCATGTTTCCTGATTAAGCCTTCCACAAGGCCTAGCCTCCAGTTATGGTGAATTACAGCAAGTCAAGTTTACCACAAGCAGTTATGAGAAAATCATTACACTTGCGCTTTAATTACTTTAATTCCTTATTGTGGGAGATGATTCTGCTGCTGGATTCAGCTGGAAAAGTAAATAATGCTGCTTTTCTTCAAACCACAAGAAAGCAACTGCATTTCATTTTAGCTGGTAGAAGTATTTGGAACGTCTTGTGCATCTGTCAAATGCAGTTTTTGTCTGAATTCATGAGTTAAGATTTTCATTCTACAATAAGTAATTATTTTAAATTTCTGAAAATTACATTCGGGAGCTAAGAGACAGGGGCATTAAAAAAAAAGAAATATGTCTAAAGGAAAAGTGCCTATGTGCTTTTGAGAAGCTTAGAAGTGGTAAGACAATTTTTAAATGTAGTGAAGTAATTATAACTATACCTAGAATTTGAAGACTTTCAAGAAAAAATCAGACTCAAGACTAAAATTCAGCAATTAATAACAGTATGTGTTACAGTAATAAGAGTAATTTACATACATATATAAATATATATATTTATACATTTTACATATATATAATGTGGTTTGGAAAATTTCACATACACATTATTATGTGTAGCAATCACCACATATTACAGAGGACACTGAGATGTTAAACAATTTGACCAGGGTTACATTACCAAAATGTGGAACCAAATTTCAAAAATTAAATCTCTTGACTCTAACCTTTCTAATATCTCATTTTTGGTTCAAAGGGGATGTCTTACCTCTCAAATGAAATTATTTTGTAGGCAGAATCATTTCTTAGTGTTCTTATGTACCTCACATTGCGCCTATCACTATGTTAAAAAAATTTTTTTTAAGTTCCTGAAATAGTTGCTCTGAATTAAAATGTCAAACCCTGAATATTTTACATGTACCTTGGTGCTTTCCTTTAAGCAATCTTATAATACACGTTGTACACTTAATTATGAAAATGTCACTTCACAAGCTATGGAAGTATCCCTTAAATGTCTGATTCTCAATTTTATGCATTTACAATATTATATGTAATAATATTAAATTAAGCATAGTATATATCGGGATATCCAACTGCCATTTAGCCTCAGAATATAAGATTCAAAATAATTTATATGACAACTAGCCTAATCCTCAATTCTCTTGATGAAAAAGTATTTTTAACTTGTTTTAAAAATACAAAACAATACAAAGTAAAGCAGAACAAACCAAAAACAAACAAAACAACTAGAAAATTCCATTTGGAAAACAAAGGGGAAGAGAGATGGCCCTAGTAAATAATAGGTATCTTTGTTCAATACATCTAGATATCACATCTTTCTAAAACATGATTGGGATTATTCACCAGAAATTATAATTTGTAGACTTTTCACTGTTGACATTAGACAAAGGATACATGGAAGAATTCAATTCTTCTAACTGTAACATAAAGAAACACATTTAATTTTAATTTTTATAATATAAACATAATAAATATCACAACCATGCATTTTTAAATAAATTCTTTTTCATGTAAGCTTTCTTTAAATGAAAAAGCAAAATACTAAAATTTCCAGACTGGGAAATTCACTTATAAAGTAGCTTTAGCATCTGTTAAATAAGAATATGTGGAGGGAATTAAATCAGATGATACAATTCGAGTTTCCTAACTATGCTTAAAATCATGCATAATTATAGTCTTCTCTAATAATAGTTTTTAAAAGACAAAAGTTGCCATTTTAATAATCAAAATCTTTAAAACCTTTATGGACTACAAAAAGATTGCACAGGACATTCAGTTTTCAGTATGAGGCAGAATTAATCATCCCTACAAGGAAAAATCTGAGTTACAGAAATGTTAAATTGCTCAGAGTTACAAATGCAGACCCTGGACTAAACAAAGGCTTTCTGGTTTTAAATCAGTATTGTTTTCAGCATACCACAGTCACTCTCCTAAATGTATTATACGTTAAGCTTATATTTGTAAAAGGAAATAGTTGCAACACTGAAAATAGTAGACTTGAAATAAAAAGTATAAGCATGAAATTTTTAAATATGGGCATATAATTTCCCTCACTTTTACTTATTCAAAAAATAGAGAAAAGCAATAAAATGTCATTGGTGACTAGGAAACTATTCTGAAACTAAAGTACATCGAATTCAATTTTTATCTATTTTTGTCCAAAAAAAGATTTAAAGAGGCAAATTTAGTTCACACTTCTCAGTGTAAGAATCATAGTTGGTGTTACGGGGCTGACTTACATCCTCCCAAAATCCATTTTTGAGTCCTATACCCAAAAACCTTAGAATGTGACGGTATTTGGAGATAGGGTCTTTACAGAGGTAATTAAGTTAAAATGAGGTTATTAGGTTGGGCCCTCATCCAAAATGACAAGAGGAGGAAATGTGCACACAGGTACCCATGCAGAGAAGGAGAGCTTGAAGGTGGCCATCTACAAGCCAAGGAAAGAGGCCTCAGAAGAAACCACCCTGCCAAAACCTTATCTTCAATTCTTAGCCTCCGGAACTACGAGAAAATATATTTCTGTGGTTTAAGCCACCCAGCACTTTGTTATGGCAACTCTAGCAAGCTAGTACACATGGAGATGTGTTAAGCTACCATAATTACCAAACATAGTTCTATATTTAAAAATAAGTAACTACCCTGAATAAATAAGGCAATATATATTAATCATGTTGGGATTTTTTGACATACTACCCCTTCTACATCTTAAGATATTATCATATATGCACAGGAGGTAATATTTTGCTTGAAGGTTAGCCAGCATTCTCAGAATATATGCATAGTTTCTTTGGATTAGGTTTCTTTAAAAAAAGAATAAAGTACAGCATGGATGAAACCTGAAAACATTACAGTAAGTCAGTGATGGCGAGCCTTTTGAGCTCGGCGTGTCAGCATTTTGAAAAACCCTAACTTAACTCTGGTGCCTGTCACATATAGAAATTTTTTGATATTTGCAACCATAGTAAAACAAAGACTTATATTTTTGATATTTATTTTATATATTTAAATGCCATTTAACAAAGAAAAATCAACCAAAAAAATGAGTTCACGTGTCACCTCTGACACGCGTGTCATAGGTTCACCATCACTGAACTAAGTGAAAGAATCCCAACAAAAAACCACATGTTGTATGATTCTACTTATATGAAATTAAAGGCCTGATGCATGAAATTCGTGCACGGGTGGAGTCCCTAGGCCTGGCCAGTGATCGGGGCCTATCGGGGCCATCTCGCCCAGTCCCAATAGGGGCTGGGCCAGCCGGGGTGTGCCGGCTGCGGGCAGGGACCTGGGGGCCTGCCGGCCACTGGCCTGCGGCCTGCCGGACGGGAGGGGGGAAGGGGGAGGACCGGGCAGGTTGGCTGGCCTTGGGAGGTTGGCTGGCCTTGGGAGGTTGGCTGTGGGAGCGCACTGATCACCAGGGGGAAGCTCCTGCATTGAGTGTCTGCCCCCTGGTGTTCAGTACGCATCATAGCAACTGGTCAACCAGTCATTCTGGTCATTTTGTCACAACAGTAGCTTAGGCTTTTACATATATACTAGAGGCCCGAGGCACAAAATTCATGCAAGAGTAGGCCTTCCTTCCCCTGGCTGCCGTTACCGGCTTCCCTCTGGCACCCAGGACCCGGGCTTCCCTCGCAGCCCGACTTCATCCAGATGGTCATCCGGAAGGATGTCCAGTCTAATTAGTATGTTACGCTTTTATTATTACAGATAGATGTCCAGAATAGGCAAATTCATAGGGACAGAAAGTAGATTCAGGGTTGCTAGGGGGTGGGGAAGGGGAGAACAGAGAGTTATAGGGTTTCTTTTTGGAGTGATGAAGATGTTCTGAAATTGGTGGTGATGTCTGCACAACATTGTGAATATACTAAAAACCACTGCATTTTATACTTTAAAATAGTTAAAATAGTAAATTTTATCTCAACAAAAATATTTATTAAGAATAAAGAGAGCCCAGCTGGCGTGGCTCAGAGGTTGTGTTGACCTATGAACCCGGAGGTCATGGTTTGATTCCCGGTCAGGGCACATGCCTGGGTTGTGGGCTTGATCCCCAGTGTGGGGTGTGCAGGAGGCAGCTGATCAATGATTCTCTCTCTTCATTGATGTTTCTATCTCTCTTTTCCTCTCCCTTCCTCTCTGAAATCAATAAAAATCTTTAAAAAAAAAAAAAGAATAAAGAGAAAGAACTATACTCACGTCAGAAAGAAGCCTATCCAGATTAGAATCACTAGCTGTCTTCCTCTTATCCTCAGGAAGTTCCTCTAACTCCCCATACAGCTCCAAATTCAAGCGAGCTAATTTCTCCTGCATTCCCCGAACATGTTCCATCTGTTCAATGGAACACTCATTTCCTGGGGGAACATTCCAAAACATTAATAAAGATTAAGATGGAGGAAACACTCTTAAACTCTAGGTGCTGCAAAAGAAATTATCATTTTCTTTTATAAATTGTTTTGTTAGTGATTGAATATTTTCTGGATATAGTAAGTCAAATTTCTGACTGGAAAAACAATGACAACCTAAGAAATGACCATGAGCACTAAACAAATCAGATAGGAAAGATAAAAAAACAACAACAAACTATCCCTCAGGTATAATTATCTCCAATTTGACAACTCTCATTTGAATCAAGTAATCCAACATTTTATAATAATCTGGATGAAATTAAGAGTCATATTAATACTTCAATTACAAATCCTTTGTCAACCAATTAGGTATTCCTCCTTTAAGAAAAATATATGAAAATATTCATGAAGCATGTAGAACGTTATGAAGCACACAATGCAATATTTTCAATTGTTTACACAGTAGTACAACTTAATTGATAAATGAAATCTAAGAGGACTGCATTTTATGCTTCTGGACTCTTTTTTTAAAAAAACAAAAGAAAATGACACCGTAAACAGGAATAACAAAATACATACAGAAAATAGGATGTAAACATGTTGAAAAGAAAAGTGGCAAATACAAACATCTATTGCTTACCAAAGGCTTGAAGTTTCCCAGAGTGGAAATCATTCAAAAGGCTGAGAAGCCCCTTCTCCATCTCCTGAACATCTGAGACATCAGTGAGGAAGGAATGCTGAATCGGGGTTGACTGAGCTCCTTTTCCCTCCCCTCCCTGAGGTTTTGTCTTTTCCTTCACCACTCTGCAAATAAGATACAATTAAAAGTTGGTTGCATATACCTGTCTTTAAAAAGAGATGGTTATTTTCAGACTGTTCTCGGTTAAGCAAAATTTCTGAATTAAATTTTCCCTTAAAAACAAGAAATCAGAACAAATTCAGTATTAAATAAAACCAAGCTAGAAATTAAAAGAACAAGTTGTGAAAAATCTCAAACAAATGTATAAAACATAACTACTAAGGTAGATAAAAAGTTTGGTTAATACATTTATATATTGTGCTCATTCTTTGGACTACAAAAAACTGAAAAGAAAATTAGTATTTTTACTATCCTATGTTTCATATATTTTTAATAGATTTGTTTTTTAGAGAGGGAGGGAGAGACAGAAACATCAATATGAGAGAGACACATAGATCAGTTACCTCTCCTACGCATCCCGACCATGGATCAAACCCGCAACTTTTTGGTATGCAGAACGCTCCAATCAACTGAGTCACACCAGCCAAGGCCATGTTTCATATTTTATTTCTCAGTAAAACATACACCTTTCCCTTTTAAACTTTACCCTATTTGTTTCTTGAACTATCTATCAGTCGTTCAACGAGTGGTTATGGAGTCCCTACTCTGTAGCTGACACCATGCCAGATACTGGATATATAAAGATGCACACGACATCAATCACTGCACGGAAGAGTGCCCAGTCTAAGGAGAAAGGAAGTCAGATAAATTACAAATCACCATATGATGGAGTGCTAAAAGCCTGTTATTAACCTTGACTCCTCCAACTTCTAAGGCCCCAACATGCAGTCATGAAGTCCTATTGATTATAATCATAGTTATCTCTCTAATCTTTCTAGTTCTCTCTCTCCACTGCCACTACCCTATCTCTTGACTGAACCCTCTAACACTTCCCAACTGGTCTTCCTGTCTCTATGTGTTGTCTCTGAGCCCCTTATGAAGCCTCCCTACAGAGCAGCCAAGTCAATTTTTAAAAAAGTAAAATCAGATAATATAAATTTACTTAATTCAAACCCTTCAGTAGCTTTGCACCGTCTGCTGGATAAAGCCCAATATCCTTAAGAAGCCCTATCCTCTCCTGTCTATGTATGCTCTAGACCAGTGTTTCTCAACCTTCCTAATGCCGCGACCCTTTAATACAGTTCCTCATGTTGTGGTGACCCCCAACCATAAAATTATTTTCATTGCTACTTCATAACTGTAATTTTGCTACTGTTATGAATCGTAATGTAAATATCTGATATATAGGATGTATTTTCATTGTTACAAATTGAACATAATTAAAGCATAGTGATTAATCACAAAAACAATATGTAATTATATATGTGTTTTCCGATGGTCTTAGGCGACCCCTGTGAAAGGGTCGTTCGACCCCCAAAGGGGTCGCAACCCACAGGTTGAGAACCGCTGCTCTAGACATTCTGAATCCCGTTTGCTTCCTATAATTCTATTCTCTTATCTAACTACATGCTAACCCTCTGTCTGCAGTAGCATCCTTCTCCTCACTGCCATCTTTATCTCAGTTCAAATGCAACTTCCTCCGGAAGGCCGTTTTAAGACTCCTAGACTAGTTTAGTTCTTACTACATGTATCTAGCGTATACCAGGCTCTCCAACACTTGAGTGATGGTGCTATACACACCGTGATACAGGGACAGAGACAGCAGTTCACTCAACCAAGGGAAAGCCAGGGAAAACTTCCTAAAGGTGACATGTGAGTGAAGCCGTAAAGAATAAGTAGGAGTTCACCAGGCAAAAAAGGAAAAAGGGTTGTATATTATCTGTGAACCCCAATACATACTATAATCCTGACATGCACACATATTCAGTACTCAATTAGTTTCTTTGTAATGTTGCATGAAGACATCTTTTCCACAACTGCACTCACCACAATAAGGATAAAATGAAGATGGTGGGTGAGGCAGAGGGGGTAGCAAGAAAGAAACTAATACTCTTTACAAGAAATCAACTTAGAACAAATAAGCTGCAGACAGTAGGTTAGCAACAGCTCATCACAAAGCAAGACCTGTGACTTATATACATATTAGGTTTAATATCGTTATTTAGGACCTTGGCATCAACTTCACCTGTGAGCTTATTAGAAATGCTTATCTGGGGCCCTACCGCAGACTAATTGATTTGGAATCTGCATTGTAAAAAGATTCCCAAGAGATCCATTTTCACACTAAAATCTGAGATAGCCTTAGCTGGTTTGGCTCAGTGGATGGAGTGTCGGACTGCGGACTGAAGGGTCCCAGGTTCGATTCCAGTCAGGGGCGCATGCCTGGGTTGAGGGTTTGATCCCCAATGGGGGGCGTGCAGGAGGCAGCCAATCAATGATTCTCTCTCATCATTGATGATTCTATCACTCTCTTCCTCTCCCTTCCTCTCTAAATTCAATAAAAATATATATATATTTTAAATCTGAGATAAACTACTTTTGACTATAAGGTTTTAGTATATCAAATGCTTATCTTTTCTTTCATGTTGAAAATTTATTTTAAAAAAAGTAAAGTCAGATCATATAAATTTACTTAATTCAAACCCTTCAGTAGCTTTGTTTTATTTCCACTTCAGTGTTTCTGATCTGTTACACTGCCTCATTTTATATTAAAATAATTCAATAAAAAAATCACTCATTGAGATCATACTAGGTGCAAAGCCACATTGTAAGTACTGTCTGACACATAAGGATTATCAAGATTTCCCTGTCCTCAGGAAGCCTACACTCCCGAGGAAGGTAGGAAATAAAAGTACAAGGTAGAAACTGACCATGGGATATAAATAAACTGCTGTAAGAATTTAGGAAGAGGAGTGATTGCCTTTAAAGTCTCCTAGTTTTCTTTTTCCACCAACCATAACCATATTCAAAATTTGACACTAAGTCAAACTCCTCCAGAAGGAAAACCCCTTTCCAATGGGATAATTTATGAAACCCTCATAACTCTTGTTGTTTATCATTTAATTCCTATTGGAATGTTCCTTTTGTTTCCTCAGAGTGAGAGACCATCATCAAGGCAAGAATCTTTTCTTCAGTGGAAACCCAATGGCCACAGAGTACTACACGCATTACTTCCTCAACCGACTCTCCACCAGGTGCTTGCAATTGGAAGTAAGTTTCTTTAATCCTAACTAGAAAAACAACTGAGATTAAGAAATGCTTTTTTCTCTCAAGAAATGTTATCTTGCTTTCCAAATATTTAATACTACAAAATATTCACACATTTACAACAGTAATACGTAACACATTTAAACACCATTCCTGTTTCCTTTAGAGCCTGAAGATGAAGGATGTTCACCAAACAGTAATGATTACTTCTAGGTGATGAAATTTTAGTGCTTTAAATTTCTGCTTTGAATTCTTCCTGTGTTTGAATTTTTACAATCCATACAAACCATTTCTACAAAAACAATGAAACCATGAAAAACATAAAAACTACCAAAGCACAAACACTCATCTTAGTTAAAAAACAAACAAACAAAAAAATCCCGTATGTCCTTTATCTCATTTCTGGCTAGCTCACCAACTTTTTCTACAAGTTTTCATGCTCTGTTTATTTTAATCTGAGACAAAGTAAGGACCTTCAAACCCATCATTCATTTTGCACTGTCTAATCTCTATACATACACTTTAAACTTCATAATGTGTTCCTAAAACACATATAATATGTGCCTCAACGGTTTAAAAGTCAAGAGAAAAAATATTATAACAATTAAAGGATTTAGTATTTACTTCCATAGCATTTTGCTGTGATAATATGAAAGAAAAAATATTCACCTTTTTAACTTTGGTCGCTGTGAAGTTGACTGTGATGCAGGATTTGAAAACCCTGTGCTTTTACTAACTGGAATGGCATTTTTTTTGGCATTAACAACCTGAGTAGAGTGGGCACTAAAAGACTTAGGACTTCTCCTCTTCACTTTCCGCTCCTCCATTGCAGTAAGTTCCTTACTGCACCAAGGCCAGCTTCTTATGACCTAAGGAAATAGGGCAAAATTATACACATGTATGCTGTAATATGCCAAAATGAAAAAGGTTCGATACCCACTTCATAGACTAAAGACGATCAAGAAATTCAGAGATTGTTACAGAAAGTTAGAACAGGATGCCTTACATTTAATCTACCGTATTTTTACACAGAAGCCCTAAGCCAAAGTGACAAATTTTTTTTCACCCCTTTATTCACTCATCCCATAAATATTAACTCTCTTCTAGTTTCCTGGCACTATTCTGAGCATTGGGGAGATGGCAAAGTCCCTGCCCTCCAAAACCTACATTATTGAAGGGGAACAATACATAAAAAAATAAACAAAACAGCCACTTCATATTCCCAGCCTGACTCAAGCTTCAAGTGGCCTTTAGGTCTCCCTTCAAAAATATATTCTTAGCCCCAGCTGGTCTGGCTCAGTGGACAGAGCACCAGCCTGCAGACTGAAGGGTCTCAAGTTCGATTCTGGTCAAGGGCACATGCTTGGGTTGCGGGCTTGATCCCCAGTACAGGGCGAGCAGGAGGCAGCCAATCAATGATTCTCTCTCATCACTGATGTTTCTATCTCTCTCTCCCTCTCCCTTCCTCTCTGAAATTAATAAAAATATATTTAATATGTATATATGTATTCTTAGAAGAACCAACTAGATTCAAACAGATGTATACTTGACAGGGGTATCTGCATTTTAACTAGTAACTAGAAACCTTATTTCAACCACCAAGCAAAAACTCAGTGTCTGCCTAGGGATAGTACTAATTCTAGTTCCTTGACCAAGTAAAGTTATGTAAAATTAAATTTATTCCGTAACTATTTTTAATAGACTTTCTCTACCTATTGCCCCAGAAACATGGAACTTTACTATATATGTTTAGTTTTGCTAATATCAAAAAGGTTACACTATGAAGTTACAGCTGGCCCTTCCATAGAGTATAAATGTAAGTAAGGTCTTGTGTTTATTCAATACTTTCCCCTTACTTTACATATTAACCAGTTTTATTTTCCTAAGTCATCCATCTAAAAATATCCCCTACATTTCCTTTTTATTTATGCATTATATTAAGTTATTCTTAATTATATTGCTTCATGTGTCATGAGAAATGTATATGGTTATTTACCTCACCAGATCCTAAAGTGCCTTAGGAGCATTAGGCCTTTTTTTGTATGTTGAGTTGGATGTAATCATGCTATGATGTTCAGAAAGATTCAGATCCACTGATGTCACTTAAATAATTAATTCAGCATTATAATAAAAACAGATGTTTTGCCACTGTCTGACAGTGGTGCGCCTAGCACTGGAATTTAAACCCATGAGGTCAGTTGGCTCAGGCTGACTCTAGACAATCATAACTGGAGCTATAACACCTCCAAAGGGGAGGTTTTAAAGGAAAGGCTCCAATGCCCAGCCTCTAATCCCAGATACTCAGTGAAAATCCCCTGAAATCGTGGCTGGCTAACAATTTTCCTTTGAAGGAAGCATTTTTAGTAACAGAACAGCCATTTTGGCGTTGTTTCAGCATGCAGCACAAATGAAATGAAATGGAATGGAACTCTAAAAAAACTGAATAGTGCTCGGCTGGTGTGCTCAGGGGTTCGCTGATCCATGAGCAGGAGCTCACATTTCCATCAGGACACACGCCCGGGCTGCAGGCTCGATCCCCAGGAGGGGGCGTGCAGGAGGCAGCCCGTGAATGATTCTCTCTCATCACTGGTGTTTCTCTTTTCTCTCTCCCCCTCTCCTTTCCTCTCTCTGAAATCAATACACACACACACACACACACACACACACACACACAACTGAATAGAGACAATGGGATATAAGTTCTCCAAAGTGGCAAGATCTGTATAAAATTATGATACATATAAACACACTGGCCTTTGAATTTAATGCTAATACACATTTGGTGATACTCGAAAATGAAGAAAAACTTAGGAATCAAAGCAATGCAAATAGACCAATAGAAGTCTAAACCAAGATGTTCCGAGGGGCTCGAAAAGTACCGGTTAAGGAAGGTAAGACCTCTGTCGCAAGAGCACTGAAATCCTTCCTGTGTACCAAGAAGCGAGGGACCATTCAGAAAAGGCCTTTATAAACAGCTCGTGGTTTACTCACTGGTTTGAGATCAGGAACCCACAGCCTCCAAGCGGGACCACTACGCGTCCCTCCCGACTTCGCCCCATTCGCCTCCCCATCAGCCGACCCTTCACCGCCCGGACCAGCAGTGGCCTGAGTGGGTGGTGGGAGGGGCCTAAAGGGGCCATTGCGGGGGTGCCTTTGCTTACACTTCATACCTGAGGAAAGCGGGGATCTGTCCTCGTCCTCGACCTGCAAACACCCGAAGCCTCGGAAGCCACCGCCGCAGCTGCAGCACCTTCGGCAGGGGTCACATCCCAGACCCCGCGCCGCCACTGCGCCCTTTGTTGATGGAAGTGACGTCAGGGGGTGGAGCTTCCGTGCCCCAGCCGGAGCCTCGCCTCTTCCGGCGGCACGGGTTCCGCGCGGGTCTCCGCTCTTGGGAATCGTGTTCCTTCACTTGGCCTGCCTCCAGCCATGCCTTCTGCGGGCGTGTAAAGGAGAACCCATAGCTGGGTGTTCATTGAGGGTTTTGTGGCCCAAAAGCAGAGAAAGGTAGGATGGCGGTGGAGGCACCCTTTCCGGAAGTTGCCCCGTCCCTCTGCGAGTGTCCTCTTTTACGCACTACATTTCCCAGCATGCTATTTTGTAAACCCGGGGCGGAGCCAGAGTGTCGCCATAGCAACCATTCCTGGCTTGTTTCCGATACATTGCCCGTATTTGGCAAGGTAGATCATCTTGAATTTGAAAGGCAACGTGAAAAACCGTGATGCTGAGCCCCATTAGAACCTAAATGCGACTCTATTACTGTTAATAGCTACTCTGTTCAGGCACCAGACAGACGTTTTCTCTAAACTTCGCTAACTCTTTTCAGAAAAGAGGGCTCTAACACTCAGAAGGATTGATAAATCCACTACACGTGCCTCTGCAGAACGAATTGCGGATTGAAAGGGATGGCACTAGTCTAACTGAAGGGAGGCATGCCTCATTCACAGCCTTCCCGCGCGGGGATGGGGGTGGGGAGGTTTTAGACTCAGACCGTTTGATTGAAGAGACGCAGGAGAGCACCACACATTTCCCCCGCATCTGCTGGTGAGGAAATGGGAAACCGAGCCTAGAGAGTGTATCAGAGCCAGGGAAGCAGAGCACGGACGGCCCCGATTGCCCATATTTACAAATTCTGAAATGTTTTACAAAGAAAAACAGAGTAAACAGTCATGTGCCCTCTCTCCAGAATGAATGGATGTTACATTTAGTTTTTTTAAGTTTTTTAATGAAATAAGTGGAACATGACTAATAGAGCAGGAGCCACCTATTCCCAGTGCCATTCTACTTCCCTTTCAAAAGGCAACCACGATCTTAAATTTGATATGCATCTTGCTAATCTAGGTTTTGTATACTTTCACTATTACTATGTATTTATAAACAATAGTGAGAATGACTTGGGGCTTTTGAAGTTTTATAGGAATGCTGTTATATTTTGTATATTGATCTAAAACTTAACCTTTTCACCCGATTCTGTGTCTTGGTGAACTACCCACATTGATACATATGGCTAGACTTCAAATTTTTAACTAGATAGTATTCAATTAAATAACTTTGCCACGAATTACTTGTGAATTTCCATAGTGATCAGTATTTAGGTTGTTTCCCATTTTCACCATTACAAACAGTGCAGGAGGGTACAATCTTCTCAGTATCTTTCCTCAAAACTAATCTTGTCTCTTAACTAATTTCTGAATTGTCTTATCTGTATGAGCAGAGCTGGCAAACTGGTGATCTACATGCTATTTTATTTTTTTCACATTGGTTGCTAACAATTAAAATTGGAAGACTAAAAAAATGATGTCATCCCATCCATTTGGCATCCTGATAATCATGGGAAGTTCTGACCACACTACATCTGCACTGCAGCCCAGAAACAACAGTTCACGCTGATGAGCAGCTGCCTCCTTTGGGTCAGCTCAAGTGATCTCTAGTTTCTCTCTCAGTCCCTCCGCCTTGAGTGCCCATCTGAGTCCTGTGGTACTTGAATCTGCAACCCTCAATATAAAATAGGGACACAAGGAGGTGACCTTCAAAATTTACATATTTCGGGTATTTAAAGTTCTGTATTGAGTCCCTCTTTTGGCCAGACACTCTCTCTCTCATAGGATGTCAGGGGGCATCTGTGAAGAAGATGGATAAGAACCTTAAAGTTAGAAATCTTACATTCCTGATAAGGAGATGAACAATAAACTAGTAAACAAAACAGTTTCATTTAGTGATAAGTGCCTATGTGAAATAATAGCTTAAGGTCCTAGGGAGTTGTTTTAAGGGGTCGCATACTGAAGAGGGAGTGTCAGGGAAGGCCTTACTGAGAAGGCAACTTTGGGGATTGAGATATCAATGAAAGACAGGAGCCAGCCATAGAATGGTCTGGGGGAAGAGCATTCTTGGGCAAAACGTATGGCTAAACAGTAGGTCTTTTTTTTTTAATTTAAATTCTTTATTGTTTAAAGTATTACATAAGTCTCCTTTTCCCCCCATTGACTTCTCCCCAGCCGCTCCCATCCTACCCCCCCCCCCCAGCACATGCCCTCACCCTCCTACTGTCAGTGTCCATTGGTTATGCTAATTATGCATGCATACAAGTCCTTTGGTTGATCTCTTATCCTCCCGCCCCCCTACCAGCCTCCGCCTTCCCTCATAGGTTGGACAGTCTGTTCGATGCTTCTATGACTCCGACTCTATTTTTGTTCATCAGTTTATGTTCTTCATTAAACCATAGGTCTTTAGGCACGAATGAGCTTGGCATGTTTGAGGAAGCAAGGGCTTGGTGTTGCTGGGTTGTACTAATCATTAGGGTCACAGTGACATGAGTCATAGAGGCACAATTTTGAGTGTGACTTCTTTACTTGACATCTAGAGTTCTTCCTGAAAGAAATTTTATTCTTTGAGATTTACTAGATTTTCCTTTAACTGCAAAATCCCTCCTTTGGATTGATTGTTAAATGCACAGCTCTAATCAGATACTGTCTTCCCAAGGATGATATTTAGAGGATCAACAAGACCCCCGCCCCAACACTAATACACTCTATAGCATAGGTAGGCAAGGAGGAGTGTTGGTGTGAATCGGTAGTGATGGTGATGTAAACATAACAGATCCACAGGCTTTATTTATTTATTTTTTCAACATGTCGAAACAAGGCCTCCAAAAATTAGGTTGCCTCCCAAAAAGTAGGAGAGAAAGAGTATATCAGAGTCCTCTGATTTTATTTCTGATAGTGAAGTGATTCATGCAATCCCTCTTTATATCCCAAAGTCCCAACGATATAGGCCCAGTCAGATGGCATCACTAATGCCCAGGCAAATGCAGTTTTATGTTTTGGTACATCAGCCTTCATACCAAACATACCAAAGGGATCTAATGGAGAATTAATCCAAAAGTTTAAGAAAATTGTTGACCAAGTGATTCTTTTAAAAAATTTTTTATTAGAAACAGACTCATAGACACAGAGAATGGACTGTTGATTAACAGAGAGGTGGGTTCTTGGGAGGCTGGGTGGAAAAGATGAAGGGATTAAGCCAGTGGTTCTCAACCTTCCTAATGCCTCGACCCTTTAATACAGTTCTTCATGTTGTGGTGACACCAAACCATAAAATTATTTTCGTTGCTACTTCATAACTGTAATTTTGCTACTGTTATGAATCATAATGTACATATCTGATATGCAGGATATATTTTCATTGTTAAAAATTGAACATAATTAAAGCATAGTGATTAATCACAAAAACAATATGTAATTATATATGTGTTTTCCGATGGTCTTAGGCGACCCCTGTGAAAGGGTTGTTCAACCCCCAAAGGGGTCGCGACCCACAGGTTGAGAACCGCTGGATTAAGCAGTATAAATTGGTAGTTACAAAACAGTCACAGGGATGTAAGTTATAACATAAGGAACATAGTAGGTAATACTGTAATAACTCTATGGTGTCAGGTGGATACTTGAAATATCGGGGGACCACTTTGTAAAGTTTATGGTTATCTAACCACTATGCTGTACATCTGAAACTAATAATAATAATAATAATAATAATAATAATAATAATATTGAATGCCAACTGTAATTGAGTTATTCTTGTTAAACTTAATATTTGGGATACTTTCAATTTATGACTACAAAATTAACATTTTAGTCCAATTTCATATTACACTTCCTTTTTAAGGCCAAGAGTAGTTAACAGGATTAGAGAATGATGATCAGCAAGACGTGAGGATGATTCATCTTACTAATATCCTTTCTCCAAGCTCTTGTCATATCCAGCTTTTGAAAGAAGCCTTATCTTGTAAGGTTAACCAGAAAAGAAAGTGTACCATGGACCGGCAAATTAGCTATACAGTATTGCATCACAACCCTTCCATCAGTTTTCTCTCCTTTTCTTGAATTTTAGTTCAAGTTCAGCAGTATTACCATGGACTGTTACAGACTGTTAAGAAATACCCATAGGAATAGCTCATAATATGGCAGAGAAAATAGAAGGAAGGAAGGGATGGAGGAGTAAGGAGGACTCCCATGAGGCTTTGTTTATATCTCTATTTAAAGGGGAAATTTTAAAATGTCATTAAAAACTTAAACTGTTATCACTCTGTCTTTTAAGGGGTTGCCATAATTCCTGTCAGTGAAGACATAAATCTTTATATAGGGGCAAGAAAAGGGATGAGACTCGGCCCCAGGTAGATGGCCCATTGTGTGCCATTAAACAACAGTGAGAGTTGTATGTGCACACATAGGCAGGAGTCTGAGTTTGGGAACGTGAGATTGAGAATCTTGATTGTTTTACACTGAGTGGCCAGATTATTATGACCACCCCCTCAGTACTTTGTTGGGCCACCTTCTGCCTTCAATACTGCAGCAATTCTTCTTGGCATTGACTCCACGAGATGTTGAAAGGTGATGCGAGGAATCTGACACCATGCCTGATGAATAGCACTGTCCAGTTCTGTGAGATTTGATGGTTGTGGAACCAGCTGCTTGATGGCTCTTTTAACTTCGTCCCACAAATGCTCAATTGGATTGAGATCTGGTGATTGTGGGGGCCACCTAAGCAAGGTAAAGCCTCCCTCATGTTCTTGAAAGCACTCCTGCACAATACGAGCACCGTGGCATGGCGCATTGTCTTGTTGGAAGAAGCCATCTCCATTGGGATACGCCATCAACATGATAGGATGAACCTGATCAGCCACGATACTTAGGTATGTTGTGCTATTCAGACATTGTTCCACACGAATTAAAGGGCCCAAATCATGCCAGGAAAACATGCCCCAAACCATAACACTACCCCCACCAGCTTGAAGGGTTGTACTCATGTATGTGGGATGCATGCTTTCATGCTGTTTCCGCCAAATTCTCACTCTGCCATCTGCATGATGCAACTGGAAACGTGATTCATCGGACCACATGACTGTTTTCCAATGCTCAGCTATCCAATTCTTGTGTTCCTGTGCGAATTGGAGACGTTTTACCTTGGTAACTGCAGACAACAAAGGTGTTCAAACAGGCCCTCAGCTTCCTTATCCCATATGATGCAGTGTACGGCTAATTTGCCTACAAACATCAGATGGTCATAATAATCTGGCCACTCAGTGTATATAACGAAGTGGGAAGAATGTCACTGGTAGAGTATGGGGGTTGGGGAAAAAGAGCAAGAAAGGGAGCAAGGGAGAAAGGAGAGTCAAATGGTGGGAAGGTCTTTGAAAAGAGCAATGAAGTCTGTTATTCAATTTATAATCATTAATGTTGCTCTACACACACACACAGCCTCCATGCTTCCAAACATCAAGATAAATTCCCCCAAACTCAAAGTTTTGTGTGAATTAATCATGGAAACCAAGGGGAAAATATCAAATTCTACATGTGTAGGAGACTGAGTGGCAAACAAGGGCAATATGTGTATAACAATGAAGTATCCATCAAAGGCACTATGTCGGATGAAGTCGGAGCTTACAGACCAAGGTAAATGTGGAGCTTACAAATGGCAGGCTAGAGTACAATCTTAAAAAGAGCGAGAGAGATGAGCTTTCTACCATATGGATGTTGGGATTATATTTAATTTCACTTACTCTTAAAGGACTAGGGCAGTGTGGTTGGCAAACTGCGGCTGGCAAGCCACATGCGGCTCCTTCGCCCCTCAAGTGTGGCTCTTCCACAAAATACCACTGTACAGGCGCGCACGTACAGTGCGGTTGAAACTTCGTGGCCCATGCGCAGAAGTCGGTATTTTGTGGAAGAGCCACACTCAAGGGGCCAAAGAGCCGCATGTGGCTCGCGAGCCGCAGTTTGCCGACCACTGGGCTAGGGTACCTGGGATGACATCTGATAATCTGCTTGTATCTCCCAGTAGTTTTTAGCTACTTAAGGGAACTAGGTTTTAAACATCTTCAATTTTTCAAAGTCTAGCATAGTGTCTGGAACACAGTAGAAATGTAGAAGATGTTCATTAAATGAATGAATAAGTGAGGGACAATTAGACTTATGTGATGGCAAGTGGCAGAATGGCATTATTAATTAGATCAAGTGTCACCATAACTCAGATGTTTTATTCAGGAATTAGAAATTAGGTGGATTCTTAGTCATGCCTGCCTCTGATCTTTAGGTGGCAGTATTATCTCATGTTAAATTGGTTCAAGACCAGATTCCATTTAACTTTTGAGAACAAATATGAATTAAAAACAATTCTGTAGCTTATTTCTGTAGTTGTGCAGAGCCAACTAAGAAATAAAATATAATTACATGCTATTATGGATTTCCTCCCCAACTTAAACACAAATGAACACTACTGGTAGTTCTCTTATTCTAGTAATTTCCAAGCGTAAAGGTAAATACAAATTGGTGTACTTTGTTTACAAAACACATGCACTTTTTCAGGGTATGAAAACGAGTGAGAGAGAGAGCAAAAGAGAGAAGTAAAACGTCTAAAAGTAAACCATCTCCCAACATAGAGTAAATACAAGATGGTCAGTTAAATTGGAATTTCAGACACACAAAAGAGATACTTTATTTATATGTCTCATATAATATTTGGGACAGACTTATACCAAAAAAGTATTTCTTGTGTATCTGAAAAGCAAATTTAACTAGTATCTGTTTGTTTTTTAACCTAAATCTGGCAATCTTACTGACAAATATTTTGGTGTTGCTAATTCCAAAATAAACAGAACTTTACCAAGCCCGGAGAGGGAAAAGGGAAACAGCTGGTGGGGTCAGCTTCTTCCTCCTGAGTCTGACTTTAACACTCTTGGTACTTTCCCCCTGCAGCGCAGAGCTCCTTAGCGAAGTCATTCATCTGCAGGAAACTGACCACCCTGGCAAGTGCCATTGTTGCAGCCTAACGCAGCTCTACCATGCAAGCACTGTTTTATAGCGCTTGTGAATCTGCTTGCGAAAGCCCCGCTCTGTGAATAAGGAAGGAGATCCCAGACCCTTCACCTCTGATTTACACTTCTCAGAGGGACCTGATCCATACCAGCTATGTCAATGGAAATAGACAAATTGCTTATGATGTAAGTCCTATTTCAAAAATAATTTACTGGTAAATCATATGTCACAGTTTTATGTGACATATATTTGCATTTTAATATAAACATTATCTTTCAAATAAAATGCACTTCAAAATTTCATTTGTAAATATTTTTAATATATATTTTTATTGATGTCAGAGAGGAAGGGAGAGGGAAAGAGAAATAGAAACATCAATGATGAGAGAGCATCACTTACCGGCTGCCTCCTGCACTCCCCCTCCTGCACAACCCCCACCTGAAACCCAGTCATGTGCCCTGACCAGGAACCAACTATGACCTCCTGGTTCATAGGTCTACACAGCCACTGAGCCACCGGCTGGGCTGTAAATATTTCTGAATTCAAAATAAGCTTTTCATAGAAACAATATTATGAATGGTAATCGGATCTTCAGGTTTCCTGGTGAGAGTGTATTTAAATGATCATATGACTGAACCACTTTATTTGTAGTCAAAAATTGTTATTTTTTTAAAGGTTATTTTAATAGTAGTATTTTTAAAAAAATTTTTTTTATATATTTTATTGATTTTTTACAGAGAGGAAGAGAGAGAGAGAGAGAGTTAGAAACATCGATGAGAGAGAAACATCGATCAGCTGCCTCCTGCACACTCCCTACTGGGGATGTGCCCGCAACCAAGGTACATGCCCTTGACCAGAATCGAACCTGGGACCCTTGAGTCCGCAGGCCGACGCTCTATCCACTGAGCCAAACCGGTTAGGGCAATAGTAGTATTTTAAAGAGTAAAAAATTTTGAATATTGAATATTCAGGTTTGAAGACATATCAATACCCGTGTGTATTTTGCTCTTGCTCTGTCTGTGCCAAAAACCATTCTCAGCACTTTAAGTGAATTAACCCTTTTGATCTTCATTATAACCCTGGAAGGTAGATTCCATGATGATCCCACCTGACTGATGAGAAAACTGGGGCAAAAGTCAAATGGCTGCCCATAGTTATACAGCTTCTAAGTGGGAGAGCTGGGCTCTGAGCCAGCCCACAGCTGCATTAACCACTGTATCCCACAGTCACCCTCGTTTAGAATAAAGAGGGAAGTGAACGGTCTGAGAAGATTCTGAAGGGACAGCTGCTCACTGTCCGAGGTAGTACACTGAACCTAGAGGAGTTCAAAGTGGATGGTTGGTCTTTCCCTTAATTTAGCTGTATTATGAATACTTCTTTTGTGCTTCCTGACCAGAATGGAACTATTTTGGAGTTTGTAAGTGGAACAAAGGATTTCAGAAAGAGAGAGAAAGATTTATCCAGATGTAACTGGATAAGAATTAATGAAAGATGGCAATGGATTAAAGAGATGGCAGTGGGGTATGAGAAAGAGGTTTCTGGAGTGCAAATAACTGAGCCGATACCTAAAAAGAAAAATCAAAGAGCGGACAGTTTGGCTTTCCATAATTATCTACATGAATAGGAAAGGAGAAGTGGGAGGGATATTATTAGTCCTATTTAACTTGCTCAGATTCGCGAGAACCCAAGGTGGTTCGCGTACCACCCAGTGGTGGCAATAGCGGAGTTCCCGAAGGCCCGGCTCAAGGAGACCGTCTCTCGTGCCAAAGGAGGCGTCAAATCCCAATCCCCAGTTAGTTGTCTTTAGACACTCTGTCCACCCTTTATCTTCTCCCACAGAGAGAAGAGGTAGTGAGGGTGGAGGGAAAAGAATTCTGGACTTAATGTTTGGGGAGCAGAGTCCTGACCCTGCTACCTAATTAGTTCTCTAACCTTTGGCCCCTGTTTCCTAAGCTGTGAAAACAGAGATGATATTATCCACCTCGTGATGTCAGCACCTGGCAAATATTAACTGTGATTCCACTTAATCTTCACAACCCTGTGAGGTACATTCCCATTTTATGGGTGTGGGAAATGAGGCTCAGGGGGTGAAGGTACTTGTTTGAAAGCACGTAAGGGCTAATATCGTGGTGGACATAGGCGCCCCGATCGTTTAGCCCTAGCGCGGTTTATCTTCCCTCTGCATTGCTGCCTACAGGAGAAAATGCAGTCGCTGAAATGAAATGGTGTACACTTTTTTCCAGAATGAAAATTTTAAAAAGCCTTTGCTACTCCAGTCCTGATAAATAGGGAGGAGAAACTAAGTAAAGCTCAGAAATATTTTTTTCTAAGGAAACAAAAATAGAAGGTTTTTTAAAGCAAAACATACCATGGGTAAATGTTCCAAAAAACCTTCAATTTATAAATAAATAGATACTGTAGCATTCATTCATATAGTGACTTTCATTTCAAAATTATTCTTTATTACATGATAATACAAGCTTATTCATTTAACATATATTTATTGAGCATCTGCTATATGCCACATGTTTTGGAACTGAACAATGCAGAAAAAAATCCGTTCTCATGGAGATAGATTGTATTCTAATGTGAGCATGGCAGATTATTTTAAAAAATAACTACAATGCCCAGTGGTTGAGCATGGCTCAGTGGTTGAGCATCCACCTATGAACCAGGAGGCCACAGTTCAATTCCCAGTCTGGGCAGGTGCCTGGGTTTCGGGCTCAATCCCCAGTGGGGGGCATACAGGAGATGGCCCATCAGTGATTCTCTCTCATCATGGATGTTTTCATCTCTCTCTCCCTCTTCATTCCTCTTTGAAATCAATAAAGATATATTAAAAAAAATAACTACAATAATCAAAACATTTCTACAGCATAGACAGGGATAAGTATTATAGGGAAAAAAATAGTGTTGGGAAAGAAGAATTGGATTATGGGTGGGCAGTTGCAATTTTAGATAGGGCAGTAGGAGATCTACTTGAGCAGGTAAGGTTTAAGCTAGGAGTTTAAGGGAGGGAGGAGATGAATTGTGAGACTATCTGGGGCCAGAGCAGAGGAAGGACCAGCACAATGGCTTAAGGTGGGAGCTTGCCTGGAGGGTAGAGCCCAGGAAGGAGGCCAGGCTGGCTTGAGACAGATCAGTGTGAGAAAGAGCAGGAAGCGGTGAGTAAGACTGTGGGAGGGGAGGAAGGGATGGACAAATTTGGTAGGGCTTTGTAGGCTACTTTAAGGGTCTGAGCTTTTTCCCTTTGAGAAATGGAAGCATCTGAAGAGTTTTGAGTGGAAATGTGACATGATTGGGCCTGCAGTGTGATAGAGCACTGCCTCAGGCTGCTGTTGGGAGTAGACCATAGGCGGTAAAGCAGAGGAGAGGAGACCAGTTTGGAGACCATTGGGTGATCTAGGCGAGACACGATGGTGCCAGACGAGGTGGCAGCTGTGAAGGTGATGAGAAGTAGTGAAAACCTAGATCCATTTTGAAGGTAAAACCAGCAAGGTTTCCTGAGATGTGGGATGTGAGAAGATGAGTCAAGAATGACTCCCACGTTTTGAGCCCGAGCAACTGCAAGGAAGGCTTTTCCATAGACTAAGATGGGAGGACTTGTGTGTTGGAGGGGGGTTGCCGGAAGTTCACTTTGGGATGTTATGCTTGAGATGACGTTTAGATGTCCGAGTGGCGATATTGAGTAAACAGTTGTATGTTTAAGTCTGGAGCTCTGCTCTAGCCTGGACAGATACATTTGTTCAACACATAGTTGATATTTAAATCCATGAGGCATGATGAGGTCACCAAGAGAATGCAGAGAAAACACTGTTAAGAACTGAGCCCTAGGGAAAGACAGGGAACCAGCAAAATTAGAAAATTAAGACAGAAAAAAAAAATAGAAAAGGAGAATATTAAAAATACCGACAAACAATGGCTATATCCCCTTGTATACATATAGCTTCCTTTTTTAGAGTTAATTTTAGAAATGTCGCCTAGCTGGTTTTCTCAGGGATCAAAGCATCAGCCCAAAGACTGGAGGACCCTTGGGCCACAGGTTCAATTCCCGCTCAAGAGCATGTACCTGGGTTGCAAGCTGGACCCTGGGCCCCGGTCAGGGTGCGAACAGGAGGCAACCAATTGACGTATCTCTCACATTGATGTTTCTCTCTCTCCCTTCCCTCCTCCCTCCGCTTACTTTCAAAAAAAAAAAATCAATGGAAAAATATCCTTTTTCTCACTCAACCCACCTGCACCCAGGTGCCTAGAATAAAAGTCTTTTGATACATTGTGGCCTCAAGTCATAGGTGTGCGACCCTGGCCCATTCCGAACCTTTCAGAGATCAGGTAGACAGTGTTGTTGTGTGTGTTTTTTGGTGGGGAGGGTGTTGGGAGAAGAAGAGGGATTGTGCAAAAATGAAGAATAAAAGAACCTGGCTGGCATGTCTCAGTGGTTGAGTTTGATTCTAGTCAGGGTACATACTGGGGTTGTGGATAGGTCCCTGGTGGTGGGTGTGCAGGAGGCAAACGATGTTTTTCTCTCATCGATGTTTCTGTTTCTCTATCCATCTCTATTCCTTTCTCTCTAAAATAAATGAAACATATGTTTTAGAAAATAAAAGAAAGCCCTAGTCAGTTTGGCTCAGTGGACAGAGTGTCAACCTGTGGACCAAAGGGTCCCAGGTTCGATTTCAGTCAAGGGCATGTACCTCGGTTGCAGGCTTCTCCCTGGCCCAAGTCCTGGTCAGGGTTGGTGTAGGAGACAACCAAGTGATGTGTTTCTCTCACATCGGTATTTCTCTTTCACTCTCTTCCACTGTCTCTAAAAGTCAATGGAAAAATATCCTCGGCTGAGGATTACTAATAATAATCCTATATAATAAAAGGCTAATATGTAGATCGTCCGAATGGCGGAATGACTGGTCGCTATGACGCACACTGACCACCAGGGGGCAGCAGATGCCCCCTGGTGGTCAGTGTGCTCCCACAAGGGGAGCATAAGGGGAGCGCCACTCAGCCAGAAAACCTGAGCCAGGCTCACAGCTGGTGAGCTGCCTCCACGGCAGCACTAAGGATGTCCAACTGCCAGCTTAGGCCCAGACTGCAAGAGGGATGTCTGACTGCCAGCCCCAGGGAGCGGGCCTAAGCCATCAGTCGGACATCCCCTGAGCCCCCAGACTGTAAGAGGGTGCAGGCCGGGCTGAGAGACCCCACCCCCATTGAGTGTACAAATTTCATGCACCGGGCCTCTAGTAATAATAATAAAAGAAAAGAAAAGAAAAAGGGGCTTACAAGGTGGTGATAAAATATTAAAATAAGTATGTTATAGTGAAACAAGCCAAATCCACTGCTCTTATTTATTAGTTAATTTATTATTAAATTATTTTTTTCTTTATGTACATGTGAAGCTATAGGCATTTACTTTGAAGCTTTAAAATTATGCCTTGGTTTTATCTCATGTCCTTAGTAATTTGTCTTATTAATTGTGTTGGTCTGATTACTTAGTATTTTTCTCTTAATTGTTTAATATTTGGTTTAATTATTCAATAATTCCTTTCATTAAAACATTTTTAATAATTATGATATTTGAAAATATAATCTCTAAATTAAATTAGTTTATGCTTTAGTAACTTTTTTATTGCTATGAATGTTATATTTATCATTGAGCTGACAATGCCTAGAAAACCTTACTGTTAACTCCATTAATCTAGAATTTAGAATTGTGTTAAGATGAATAGAAGTCAAAAGAACAGTAGGTGGAAAACAATGAGACAAGTAAAAATCACTTAAATGATCAACGTCGGCCACCTGAGACTGTAATTGACAGAAGGAAGAGGGTCAGAATTGAGTTACACGAAGGAGCCTCTTCCTGTTTCTGTCTGTAAAGGATGAAACTTGACAAGGACTCTGAAATGTTTCCTTGACAATCTAAGGAAAGGAAGTTTGGGCTCAAAGCCTCCTCTGCCATGCTAGAGTTTAGGCATTTAGTGATCAATTGATAATCCTTAGTCATTTAGGTACACTACAATGAACACACCGGACTGAATCCCCTCGCTTCCATTCTGGAATGTTCAAACCTTTAGAACAGCCAGAATAGTGCACCTATGAAGGTAGGCATACAGAATTCCCAGTGCTGTATGCAGGAAAGAAGGTTCCCAGGCCTCTGCTAGCTCCTGGGCAGAGAAGCTTGCAGGATGATGTTAGCTTGGTTAAAGGTCTGGATGAGACAAGGCCTTTTGATGGAATGATAAATTTAGCCATTGTATAAGCCACTCGAGGCTTTTTGAATAACTCTGTGAGCTTAAGAGGGCAGAGGCAGGCCTTCCCACCCAACAATAAGGGGACAATTGGTCTTGTTCTCTGCTCCTGTGCTCTGTTCCCATCATGCTTCCATCTTGCTCAAGAGCTTCCTGTCCCTCTCTACTTAGAGGAGCATCTCCCCAAAACTGTACCATGAAACACTTGGGATTTATAAGACAGTAATAGATCTTATGAAAAATAGATGGCAGTGGAAAACTTTTTTCAAAAATGTAATTTTAAATCTACATATATAAGAAAAATTCTAAGTACTTAAAAAAATTTTAAGATGTTTTTATTTATTTCAGAGAGAGGAAGGAAGAGAGAGACAGAGATAGAAACATCAATGATGAGAGAGAGTCATTGATTGGTTGCCTCGTGTGCACCCTCCGCTGAGGATCCAGCCCAAAACCCAGGCAATCAAACCGTGACCTGCTGGTTCATGGGTTGACACTCAAACCACTGAGCCATGTCAGCCAGATGGAAATTCTAAATACTTTTAAGAAGTTATTAATATGGGATCATTTGCTTTTAAGAAATGGAGTGCCAACTTCTGTGCATCAAAGATCATTTTGGAAAAATTAAAAGACACTACGGACTGGAGAAGTTAGATGCTACACGTATAATTGACAAAAGACTGGTACTCAGAATATAATTTAAAGCGTGGGCCAAAGAAAAGAATATGTAATTCACTGAGGAGAAAATTAAAATGACCAATAAACACATGAAAAGTTGTTCAAATTCCCTAAAATTATGTGGATATAAATTAAAACTAAAATAAAATAGCATTTTCTATTCAGATTGGCAGAAAACTAAAAGTCTGGCAATACCGAGTAGTGTCAAGAATGTGAAACAGGAGTCGTGTGCAGTGCAGGTGGGAAGATGCATAAGTACCACTTGGGAGAGTTGATTGGCAATATATACAGTAAATTAAAGATGTGCTTAACGCATGGATTCAACAAAAATTTATTGAGTACCTGCAGTGGCAGTGCTATTCTGGGTATCAGAGATAAAACAGTAAACAACAAAAATACCTGCTTTCACAGAGCTTACATTTTACTAAGAGGGAATGTGGGGTGAGGAGAAGAGAAGGAAACACACACACACACACACACACACACACACACACACACACACACACAGGAAAATATGACCTGTAAGAGAAGGTGAGATCTGCTATGGAGAAAAAGCAGAGAACGAGTGGGGGAAGTGGGGAGCTCTTGGGTGGTCATGAAGAACCCTGTGCAAGCCCATGAGTGAGTGAGCCATGCAGACATTTGGGGCGGAGCATCGGAGGCATGGGGGGCAGGGGGATGCCTAAGGGGGAACTAACGCCTTGATGCAGGACTCCTGACTGTTTAGAAACAGCATTGGTGGGGGTGGGGGGGGGGGGCTGTGGGAGGGGTGGCAGGTACCTAGAGCCCGTTAGGCCAGAGCCCACTTTGAAGACCACTGCTCTAGTCCCCGGGGCAAACATTGAGCACTCGCAATTACACCCGGTACCACCTTAAGCTTCACATATATTTTGTTACCTAACAGTCATCTTACATCTTCTTAAGCTATTTAGCCCCATTTCGTAGATGAGGAAAGTGAGTCACAAAGAAGATAACTCATTCCGGATCAGTAAATTGTGGTGTGCTGATTCAAACCCAAGCCAACCAGCAGACTCTTCTTCACTACTAGGTCGGCTGCCTCTTGCATTTTTCCTCTCAAGGGTTTTCCCTCCAGTGCCAGGTGTCTTTCCCACCATCATAGGCTACATCTTGGGTCACTAGTTTTCTTCTGATTTTTTGTTGTTGGTGGTGGTGGTGGTTTGGTTTCCTCTTCCATCTGCCACATGTATATATGATATTATTCCATTTCTTTTTAAATTAAACTTTTCTAACCACACTCATTCCCCATGAATCTGAAGCTAAAAGAAGCCAGTTAAAAAACCAAAACTCTCTTAGGTTTCTCGCACTTTCTGAATCCAAAACAAAGTGTGTCTGAACAGTGGCACCAGGAATTTCTAAAAGCTGGGAGGAGAGAGACAAAGCACCGTCCAGAGTGTGTCTATGAAGTGCTGCCGTCTGGGTGCTCTGCAAGGGCCTGGGCACAGAGCCGTGGTCCTCTGGGAGGTGAACCTCTGCTGGTGTGGCTCAACGGTAGGATGTAGGGAAACTGGCTGCTCGCTCTTGGCCTTTGGTACAGTTAGAATTTCTTTTTTTCTCTTTTTTACCATAAATATTATGCATACTTAAACAATAAAATCTGAAAATAATCGGGAGGTGAACTACTGTATTGAAAATATTACAGTGATTTTTTTGGAACAGCGTATTTCAAAAGCACCTGGATATTGCAGAATAAGCAGCAATCCCCTTGCTGTGCCGCACATTGTAACCTTTATATTATACAGCAGTGAGAGTGAAATGAAGGAGTACACGCGATGCAGCTATGAGGGCCTGACCTGCAGCATTATTACTTAAATCCAGTAGCCACGTTGTTGGGGGAAAAGGAGCCCCTTCTACTTCAACACGTTTCTGTGTTGCCCTGGCCAGTGTGACTCAGTGGGTGGAGTGTCAGCCCTCGCACTGAAGGATCACAGGTTCAATTTTTGGTCAAGGGCATGTACCTGGGTTGCAAGTTCGATCCCCAGGCCTGGTCAGGGCAGGTGCAGGTGGCAACCAATCAATGTGTTTCTCTCAATGATTTCCCTCTCTCTCTCTCTCTCTCTCTCTCTCTCTCTCTCTCTCTCTCTTTCTCTCCCTCCCTCCCTCCCTTCTACTCTCTCTAAAAATAAATGGAAAAAAATATCCTTGGGTGAGGGTTAATAAAAAATATATATAATTTTAAATGTTATTTTGTATAATCTACACTCATAAAAGACAAGGATGCTACATTGACCATACCTTCGCTATGCCCATCAGCCAATCAGAAGAGTATGCAAATTAACCCAACAAAGATGGCCGTTAAATTTGCATGCTGCAGGTGGGGCGGATGGCGGCGGGGTGGGACAGTGCGAGCCGCCACCTGCCCCGCCACCATCCGGTGTGTGGCCCAGGGTGCCGGGGCAGGCACCGCAGGATCAGGCCTGCCATCTGCCACCCGGGGAGCGGGCCTAAGCCAGCAGGTGGTTATCTCCTGAGGGGTCCCAGACTGTGAGAGTCCCCCTCCCCACCCCCCCACCAGTGCACAAATTTTTGTGCACCGGGCTTCTAGTAAAATATAAAATAGATATCATTTAATCATCAAATGTTTTGACTTTTCCATGGGCGATTCTATTAAAAATGGGGAAAAATTCAATTTTGATCATTTTTTTTTGCTGTTGATCTGAGGGGACATTTTTGGGTGCCTACTTTAATTTAGGCAGACAGCACATCTATTGATCTTCTGATGCTGTTCTATTGAGATGCCGCATTAAAAAGCATTTAACTCTTGCCTTATTAGGAGACTAGTGCTTGTTACTTCTGAGACCTGCAAACTTCTGTCAAAGGGACGAAACGAGGAGTGTGGTGTTACGTTGCCCTTCACCACAGCACCAGAGAAGCCCTGAGCAGGAAGCAGGTGTGTGCGGCCCACTCTTGAGTGAGATGCTGGTGAGAGAAAAAGGGTCGGGGCCTATGTGGAATCACAGTGAGAGGTGAGGACAGGAGATGTACGCAAAAGGCTTCCAGTGCATATATTGGGATAGCTCATGAGACTCAAGGGTAACAATGCTGCCGGTATCAAAAGTATCTGGAGTCAAGAACTCAAACTCCCAGTAAGTACTGTCTCCTGATCTGCTGTTCTCTGTATGCTCGCTTCATTCCCAGCTCCTGGCAGTCTAGCTTTCTTTATTTTACAATTATGGGGCGGGTGGGAAGTAACCAAGTCCAACTTCCCTGAAAAGTAAATGCGATCGCTTAAGCTTGGGCCAGGCGTCTCGTGCTGATCTGGCCTGTTTGAGCCAGTGGGGCAAGATCATGTGGTTCCAACACAGCTGCTGAGAATGCAGTTTTATGGATGGGGCAGGGGCAGGGTTGTTGGCTCATGAATTAGGTAGGCTCCCTTTCGGTGGGGACCACATATCGAGGTATGCACTACATCAATCACTGTATTAAAACCTTATGATTTCTGTCTTTGGTGTAATGCAGAGAAAATCTTTCTCTAACCCCACAATTATATTGACACACATTTTTCATTTTCTTCCAATATTTTTATTTCTTTTTTATTCACCTGGAATCTATTTAACTACAAATTATGAGATAAGGACCTAACATTAAAAAATATTTAGTCAGTTATCTCATCACCGATTATTTAATAATTCATTCTCTTTGAACTGATTTAAAATATCAATTTTTTCATATATCAAATTCTTGCGTGTGTGTGCATGCGCGCATGTGTGTGTGTAGATATAATACTGTTTCTGGGATTTTCCATTGGTTAGTTCATCTATTGCTGTTTTAAATATATATTAATACTTAAAAAATAATATGTATGCTATGAAAGCAAGTTCTCCTATTGGTTTTAAGTTTCTTAGAGGAACAATTTTCTATACTAATAAAAAGGTAATATGCTAATTAGACTGGACATCTTCCAGTTGTCCTTCCGGACAAAGCCATGGTGGTGGGGGTTGAGGCAGAGGCAGTTAGGAGTGATCAGGCTGGCTGGGGAGGGAAGTTAGGGGCAATCAGGCTGGCAGGGGAGGGCAGTTAGAGGGCAATCAGGCCGGCAGGAGGAGAGCAGTTAGGGGGTGATCAGGCCAGCAGGGGAGCAGTTAGAGGCATCAGGCCAGCAGGCAGAGGTAGTTAGGGGTGATTGGGCTGGCAGGCAGGCAAGCAGATAGGAACCAGCAGTCCCAGATTGCAAGAGGGATGTCCGACTGCCGGTTTAGGCCCGATCTGTGGTTTAGGCCCGATCCATGGATCGGGCCTAAACCGGCAGTCAGACATCCCCCAAGGGGTCCTGGATTGGAGAGTGTGCAGGCCGGACTGAGAGACCCCTCCCCTGTGCATGAATTTCATGCACCGGGCCTCTAGTATAAATGTAATTGCCCAGCACAGTTCTTTATGGATGCTAGATAATGATGATAATTATCGTTTCTATAGAAGATATATACATGATGAAATATAAAGTACGTATTATTTTATAGTTTTCAATGTGCTTTCATAAAGTGCTGTACATCATCTGGAAAAGAGCAAAAGAAGGGCTTGGCTGTCTTGGCTCAGTGGTTGCATGTCAACCTATGAACCAGGGAGCCATGGGTTTGATTCCCAATCAGGGCACATGCCCAAGTTGCAGGCTTGATCCCTAGTGTGGGGCATGCAGGGGGCAGCCAATCAATGATTCTTTCTCATCATTGATGCTTCTATCTCTCCCTCTCCCTTCCTCTCTGAAATAAATAAAAAATATTTTTTATAAAAGAGCAAAATAAGGGGTGATTTTGGCAAAGTTTTCTTAAAGGGTCAGATAGCAGATAGTTTAGGGTTTGAGGGGCATAGAGTCTCTGCTGTGACTATGGTAGCATGAGCACAACTATGGACAGTATATAAACAAATGCTCTGTCCATGCCTCAATATTATTTGGGGACCCTGAAATTTGAATTTCATATAATTTTGACATCAGGAAATATTCTTCCTTTGATTCCCCTCCCAACTATTTAAAAATGTAAAAACCATTCTTTGCTTGTGGGCTGTATAGATACAGGCAGTGGAACATATTTGGCCTATGAGCCGTAGTTTGCAGGTTCCTGCTATAGGAGATGCTGGATGCTCTGTGTCCACCCAGAGTCACACCTTATTTTGCTAATAGGATCCTGATTTCATGTGAGGAAGCTTTCTCTCCCTCGACCTCTCATTGAAGACTATCCATCAGTTCATATGCTTCAGCTTGTGCTGTAGGAGCACACGTTAGCCTTGGCTCCAGTGACTGGTTCAATTGGAGTGAATTTGGGGTCTGCTCTCTCTCCTTCCACAGGAACTTTTAGCAGCAAGGAATATGTGAGCCTGGAGATACCAGAGGCTACCACATGAATCTTAAGAATGAAGCTGACACAGCATAAGGCCAAGCTAAGAAACTAAGACCCTGAATTTTGATTACATTTTTGGAGCTCCTGGATCAAGCCACTCATGATACTAAACACCCCCAAGGCTTTTCTGCTACATAAATATATACATTTTCTTTCCTATTTAAGTTAGTTTGAGTTTGGGCTTTTGGTCACAACAGGACACTAACTGAGGCAAAATTCGTTACCTCTCACATTTGTTATAACTGTAAAACAAAAAGTGTAAAATTAGATGCCAATATAATCACTAATCCAGGCAAGTTCAAACGAATAATGTTTTTATGTTTTGTTTTGTTTTACTGGAACTGAATTCCTTCTCCCAATGGGAATATGGCATTGGCCAATACGTGTGGGTTGTGTTGAGCTCTGGCATACCTTTGTGTCCTACACATATGGTGTGTGCTATGCTTCATCGCCTTTCTCTGTTTGAACTATTGCAAAACCTTTATTCACAGAGCTTGCTGTGACAACATTCAGCCGTCTCTTGGTACAAATATTTAATTTACATAAGTCTGCCTTTGTACTGTCCTTAGTTACTAAAACAAAGAAGAGCATTATTGTGCTTGCCTTTCAAATTATATTGATACCAAATTTAAGTCTCATTTTATGAGATTACTTCAGCTAAAGTCTCTGATCTGGGAAAATATGTTTCAATTATTAATTGAAGAGAGAAGCTTTGTGCTTTTAACAGGAAATGAATTCAACTGTGGTGACTGTTTCAGTTTGCCATTGGGACATGCCAGTTCTCTGTGATTGGGAAGCCTGGGATGTCTAAAGCTGTAGCATTCATTTTGGCCCTGCCTCTGCACCTTCCTTCCACCGACTCCCACCTGTCCCATAATTCTGCTCACTAGTGTGGCCTGTTACTTCTATTAGAAATTTTAGCTCTAGCCATTTTGGCTCAGTGGATAGAGTGTTGGCCTTCGGACCGAAGGGTCCTGGGTTTGATTCCAGTCAAGGGCACATACCTCAGTTGCAGGCTCCACCCCGGCCCTGGCATGCAGGAGGCAACCAATTGATGTGTTTCTTTCACATCAATATTTCTCTGTCTTTCCCTCTCTCCTCCACTGTCTCTAAAAATCAATAGAAAAATATCCTCAGGTGAGGATTAAAAAAAATTTTTTTTAACTAATTGTACAATTTTTTAGTCTCTTTGTCTATAATTGCATATAAAGTGTTCATACTGTCTTTTAGTTGGAGTATGATAATCTGTACATGTACTGCTTGTTTTAACCAGGAATGGTTAGTTAATCACCTATTGCTCCAATCTAGCAAAGAGACCTCAAAAACACTGTGGCTTATAACATGAGGCATCTATTTTCTTGCTCACAGGGCTGCAGGTTAGCAGGGTAGCTCTGCTTCCGGCTGCAGATGAGTGCAGCTTGGCTCTTGGCTTTCTTTCTAGTGTAGGGCTGCCTGTGTATCTTACTCTGGGGCCCAGGCTGAAGGGAGAGGAGCTAGGTGGTGCACTCTCTCTTCGTGGCAATCACAAGAGTGCTGCAGACGGGGCCAAAGGATGCAAGGACATTGAAGTCCTTTGTGCATGTCATGTTCACTGATGTTTCATTGACTAGAATAAGTCACATGGTGCAACCTCCGTACAAAGCTGGAAGACAGCCACCCACACTAGCATGCTGTAGGTTTACATGGCTGGGGAGGGAGAGATTGTGACTAATCCCATCGAGTGCATATGGCTTTACTTTGTATGAACTCTGTCTCTGCTCCTCCCACCTACGGATCTCAATTTCTATTGCTAATATGCCCTGTGGGAGGGAGAGGGCTTTCTATATAGCTAGCTTGAATTTTAAAGAAAGAGAATAGTTTCCAGATAGTTTAATGCCATAAATTCAATAGCTGTTGCAGCTGAGTTTCCATTTTTACTCAAACTTCTGGCTTCTTTGTTGATTTATTTTTATGATTATATATATTTTATTATTTTTTGGTTGATTTTAGAGAGGGAGGAAGAGGGAGAGGAGAGAAGAGAGAGAAAGAGAGAGAGAGAAACACTGATGTGAGAGAAACATCAATCATTTGCCTTTCCTAAGTGCCCCAACAGGGGACCAAACCCACAGCCTGGGTGTGTGCTGACCGGAAATCGGACCTGTGACCCTCCAATACACTAGACGATCCAACTAAATGAGCCACACCAGCCAGGGCTATGATAAAGTATTTTTAAATGTTTTAGAATAAAATTATCTTTAATTTTGTGTTCTAATGCAGTTAAAAACAAACATGTAAATTATTCTGTTGTTTGTTGTATACTTAAATATACAAAGCAACGTGTCAGAGACAAGGGTCTCACTCACCGGCAGTTTTATAGGCCCTAACATATTGCTGGGCATATGATATGTGCTCAATAAATACTTTTCCACTGAAGTACATTTTTTTATTCACTAACATTTATTACTGATCCACAGGTAGTAACTTGTACCTTAACAGACATCTTCCTCTTTAATATAATGATGTATATATAATCAATGTCCTTCAACTTCATTAGTGTCTGTTACACCAAAAGGTGTTTATAATATGAAACATAGAAAGCAATAAGTTTGTGTTTGCTCTTTTTAGGACTAATACAAATTGTTGGTTGCTTTTTCTTTTTAGGTCTGTTTTTAAAATTATTTATTTACATAATCTTCTAAGAGTCCTTAGAAAAAAATTTAAATAGGTAGTTATAAATATGTATCAATATAGGCAAAATCTATTAACTT